AACCGCGCGGTGCGGGCGGCGCGCGGCCGTCGGCGTATATTTTCATATACGCTTGTTTCTAGTTTTATTTGGCGCTAAGCGCCGTGTTTTAGGCCGGGACGGATGGTCGGTCCCGGCCGTAACGATGCACATCGTTACATATTATAGTTGCCGATATTTATTATGCATGCGATATCCTGTTATTCTGAAGCATGCAACAGAGTAACCGATATATTGAAAATTTGCCGCGCCGCAGCTTCCGGGTCCTTTATATTTGTTTAGGTACTGCGTGTGGCCCTGGAGCCTATACATATGTATAGGTGAAATAATATTGTGCGCACTTTGTGAATATCGCCCCAGTCGGTTAGTTGAGGCGATATTTTATTCAAAACCACCCTAACCGTAACGAGGAGGTCCATCTTACCCTTCACTGGAGACGGTAAGTATGTGCCCCCTCTCACGGAGTTTTTTTTGCGCCCCCTAGCCGGGGGGTTCTGTCCCCGGCCTATTTTTAATATAACATTTTGCGCGCAAGCGTGGGCGGCATATGCCGCCCATACATTCTATTTGTATACCACCTCGGGTGAGCTTGTCTTTCCGGGGAACATTAATTGGTAAAATAAAAAGTAAGTTACTTTGTTCTTATCAGCTTAATATCTGATAGAGACGTCCATCGGATGACACGCAAAAACACCGCGCCTGGTCCCGATGGCGTGCCCGCTAAAGTGCTGGGCTTTGCCTGTAGACAGAAGTCCTTGGGAGCCCGCCTCAGGCAGATTTTCACTGATTGCCTGAGGACGGGATGGTTCCCCCCTGAATGGAAGAGTGCCAAACTGGTCTTTCTCCAAAAAGGGGGCAGGCCGGCGGACTCACTGTCCGCGTACCGGCCGATATGTTTGCTCGATGAGGCGAGTAAGCTCTTAGAGCGCGTTATCGCTAACCGCCTCACCGGTCACCTGTTGCGGCTAAGTCCCGACCTGGCCGACTGTCAGTTCGGATTTTGTGAGGGACGATCGACGGTAGACACAATCTTCTGCCTCAAGTCCTTCACGGACGCGTCAGTCAGGCAGGGAGGGAGGGCGTTGGCAGTGTCGGTGGATCTCCAACGCCTTTAACTCTCTGCCCTGGGGTAGGGAAAGTATAGGGTGGGCGCTTACTCGCCACGGTGTCCCACCCTTTTTGAAAAGAGTCCTTGGGAACTATTTTTGCGGTAAAGAAATAAGATATACCGGCCGGTACGGATTACCGCATAGGAGGGATACGTGCCGCGGGGTCAGTGTTGGGCCCGCTGCTGTGAAACCTCGAGTACAACACGGTTATTAAGGCTGCTCTGCCTAGAGGCCTGGATGTTATCTGCTACGCGGATGACATTCTTGTAGTGGCACTCCATCGGACACTCAGGGCCCAGCGTGGGGGTGTTGCCGTCCCAGGCACCCCCATGTCGTCATCTCGAGATGGGCTACCCTCCGCTTGAACCGCAGGGGTAGGGGGGGGGGAACATACGACTGAGAGGGCGCGTTCCGACGTACTCGCGCTAGGTGCGCGACGTATGTTTGGGGCGTCGGTCTCCCTCACGAAGAGTAGCGCTGTTGGCGCCCCTTCTGGGGGGGAGAAAACGAAGGAGCTGGCGAGGGAGCGTTCTCGCTCTCCAACATACGCCGGCCTGTCCGTGTCCCCACTTTTTGGGGACACAGACAGCGCAATGGAGGTGCAGGAGGACGCCTCCACACCAGCCCCCAGCACGAGTGGGGGAATAAGAAGACCGCCAAGCGCCGCCGAGTTTCTCGGCATCGTCGCAGCCGAAGAGCGTGCTTGGGCTGCAAGACGAGCGGAGGCGGTTTTAGAGCTGGAGGACGATTGCTGGCGCGACACCGCCCAGCTTCCGTCCTTCAGGCTCTCGTGCCCGGTTGCTTCCGCGGCGGAGATGGTGCACAAGACGCACACTGCCGCGGAGGCCGTGATGAAAGTGGCCACCACGTCCAAAAATCTTAACGGTCGTTACGTAAAAATACTGAAGGACGTGGCGGCCACCATAAAGGAATTGGGCGAGGGCATTGTTGCCCTCGCCTATATGCCGATAGAGGCGGCAGAGTCGGGGCTGTTCGGGCCTGGCGCGCTCGTGGATGAGCGCGTCAGGACGCTGGAAGAAAAGCTCCGACTCAGCAAGGAGGCCGGGAGGATTATGTCCTCCCAGTATAAAAAGGTCCGCAAGATGCTCGACGCGGCCTACAAGAAAGGTTTTTCCCTCCTAGGCGCATCAAGGAAAGAGGTCGCGGATGCGGGACGCAGGTCGGTGGACCTGCGTTTTCCTTGAAGGCGACCGCGGCGACGACCCCGCCGCCAAAGACGGACTCCCGGGGGGTCAAAACAGAGGGGGGGCGGGTGAGCCCGTCAGGGAAGATCCCCCTCTGGACCTCTCGGAGGATAGATGTGTCCGCCTTTTGGCGGACAAGATCGGAGACGCGATGGAGGGGCGAATCCTCTCTCTAATTAGGAGAGAGCTCGCCCCTCAGTCCTCAAGCGCGCCTGTAGCCGTACCCGCCCCGACCACCTGGGCGACGGTTGTGGGGCGCAAGGCGCGAAAGAGGGGGAAAAAGCCTCCCCCTCCTGAGGAAAAGCGGCGCCCTCCCGCTGGTGCGAGTCAACGCACCGGGGCAGCAGAGAGTGCAAAACTCGGCAGGCTCCCCACTGGGGCTGTCGTCCTCCTTACCGTGGGGGAGGGCGGCATTTATGTCGAGGTAACGAAAAAGGCGGCGGCAGCCGTTAATTTGAAGGAAGTCGGAATTTCCGGCTTCCGGATAAAGAGGGCGGCCAATGGCGGCATGCTCCTCCAGGTACCCGGGCCTGGAGGAGCCGAGAAGGCCGACGCCCTTGTCGAGAGGGCGTCCAAAGCGCTGGAGGAAGTGGAGGGGGTGAAGTTCACCCGTCCCACAAAGCACGCGGAAATCCGAGTGCGGGACGTGGTGCCCCCCCTCACCGCGGAGGACATTGCCGCCGCATTAGCGGCGGCAGGTAGATGCCAGCCCAGTGAGGTTCGAACTGGGCTGGTTTGCTCCTCTCCCGTCGGGTACGGGACCTTGTGGGCCCGTATGCCTTTGAGGGCAGCCCGGCGGGTAATAGGGGCAAGAAGAGTAGAGGTGGGGTGGTTCAGCTTCCCCGTCGAGGCACTGGCGGCACGGCGTATGCAGTGCTACCGGTGCCTTGAGTACGGGCACGTGACACGCAAGTGCTCCGGTGTAGATCGGAGCACGGCGTGCTACAGATGCGAGGAGGGTGGCCACCTCGCCATCTCATGCAGGGCTGCCCCCAAATGCACTTTGTGTGCGAGCCGGGGGCAGCCAGCGAACCACCGGATGGGCGGCGCAAGTTGCGCCCCCATTCCGGCAAAAAAGTAGTCACCAGGCGGAGCGCCGGAGTTCCGGCGCCTACGCTGCCACCCGGTGGCAAGGAGGGCGGAGAGGGGGCGGTGCCTGACCCCTCCCCTAAAAAGAAGAAGAGACGGGCCCGCAGTGGCGGGTCCGGCGGAGACTCCACCGGCTAAGAGGAGGACGGAGAGGGGGTTTGCCTCCTCTCACCGGTGAGGAGCGTGGCCCGGCTGTGGCCGGAAGAGGGCGAGGGATGGGGGGACGTCCCTCCCGCATCCGCCCCCTCTGAGATCACTAAGCCCGCCGTGGGAGAGAGGGGGGAGGCCTCTGGGGCCTCCATTCGAAGCAAGGAGCCCACCGGCTCCCGGGAACTGCCGGAGACCGGTGAAAAGGGGAGTGGGGACGGCGCGATGCCTCCCCCTCTCCCCAAAAGGAAAGCGTCCGGGACCAGAGACCGTAAGGTCTCTGGCCCCCGGACACAAACTGGTGCGGCGCCAAAAGCGCCGGATTCAGGGGGAGGCTCCACTAAGGAGCCCTCCCCCAAGCGGCAGAGGGGAGGCAGGTCAGCCTCCCCTTCACCGAGAAAAGAAAAGCCGGGACCTAAGTCCTCCAAGTCGGGCAATTAAGCTCGACTTGGAGGCAGTATCCGTGCTCGGGGTGGGGGGGTCGCGGCTCGGGCGTGACCCCCGGACCCAGCCCCAGTCATGGGGCTGCTTGGTCGCGGGTAAGGGGTGCGTATAACATGTATCAACCCCTCCTGACTTTGGTCACAGGGGGCGGGGACTTGGTGTGGCAAGTTGGGGAACTTGCCACGCCATTGCACAAGTCCCCAGGGAGAGGCGGCTTGAGGAGGGCTATGGCCCTTTCCTCTTGCCGCAACCCCAAAGGCGACGGCGATAGGGGGCGTTGTCCTTTGGGGACAAGTCTTGGACTAGGAAGAGCCTGGAGATGTAATAGCCTCGCGGCTGCCACAGGCTCCCCCATTATGTCCGGTGGAGGCCATTGAGGGGTTTTAGTGAGTGCGAGTCCCACACTCTCCGCCCAAATCCCCACAGTGCGGGGGTGCATAACGCATTTCCCTTTGTATAAAAAAAAAAAAAAAAAAAAAAAAGAGGTCCGACCATACCTTGAGGTGTGGTTAGAACAAAGGGTCGGGCACCTCACCTACAGGATGACGCAGGTGCTCACCGGGCACGGTTGCTCGGTGAGTACTTGTGTCGAATAGGTAAGGAGCCGACGGCACAGTGCGGGGCGGCCAGGGACTCGGTGCGGCACATTGCAGAGAATTGTCCACAGTGGGCCAACGAGCGCCGGAAGCTGACCGCCAAAATTAGTAACGATTTGTACCTGGAGGTTTTGATAAAGTTGTTGGCCTCCAAGGACGAAAACGAGTGGAGGGCGGTGATCTCCTTCTGCTCCGTTGTAATGGTCCGTTGGGCTCGGTTTGGGGGTTGGGAGGACAGCCTCACCCTTTCAAGGGCAGAGCTGACTGCCACCGAGCGCGTCCCCGGGTTGCGGATAAGGAAACGGCCTCAAGTACTGAGGTTAGCCGCGAATAACCCCTCCGGAAGAAATAAGCAGTCGCGGACAAACAGTGGTGGATACCGAGGGTAGGGTGGCTCCTGTGGGAAGGGAGTGGCCTATAAAGTGCCCTATTAATCTTGATGAATCCATGTCAAAGGCGAGTAAGTGCCGCCTTGAAAGCACTCAAAAACCTACGAGCAGATCGGGCTTGTTAGGTTTTGTGTACCAACCGATCTAGGTGAAGGGAAACACCGATGTAAAATCAATTTAAAGTGATAATTATGAAAAGTTGGTTATTAAAAGAGAGCTTACTGTTCCAGGGTGTACGGACACTCTGGGGCCGGCACGGTGAAAGTATTGTCCCTGCTCCCGCCGCGTTGTTATCAAACAAAGGGCAGAAAGAGAGGTTGACGGCGAGCTCCTCTGGAAAATCTGCTACCACCGTTAAATTCGGAGCAAGAGAAAGGCTGATAAAAGCTTTGAGACGGATCTCCAGGAAAGTCTTGGGCGCGGGGAGAGTTCTGATATTACAGATGTAACGATGCAAATCGTTACGGCCGGGACCGACCATCCGTCCCGGCCAAAAACGCGGCGCTTTGCGCCAAATAATCACGTTAAACAGGCGTA